GCGCTCATTTATCTAGGTTAAATGTTTAAATTAATACAGTGAAATGCATGGTGTTTTATGTCTGTTTATTTTAGGCAAGTCGTGTTGGTTTGAGAAGTCTAAATTGATCCAACATAATTAAGCTGTTGGACAAGGGCCGTGCAGGGCTCTATTTGTTCCCTCGTTGCCCCCAAACTGCCCGGGACCATATGCACCTGCATACCCTGCATGGACGCTACTCCACTGATCTTATTTGTTCTTATCTGTTCATAAAAGTTTTATGTTTAATATAAGCGGCTTTGTCATTGTAGCATTGTTGATGTTGTGTGTGTGTGTTTTTCATTAAGAGTAATATTGAATCAACCTTAAGAATTAATTTTGTTTCAAGAATAGGAAAGACCTATTAGACCTAACGTTAGAAAGACCTAACGTTAGTTAAAGATCAAAATAAGCGCTACAGATGTGAGAATGCGAGATTTGTTGCTGCTGAGAGGTAGACGCTCTCGCTCTTTCTCTGCTGTCTGTAGAAATTGTTGTTAATTCTTAATTTGGGAACGGCAGAGACATGTTACAGGTTATAATATAATCCAAAAATCATGGCAACAAATGATTTTTTAAGTCAGTTTAATACGTTTAATCAGTTGAAACGACTTTCACAGTCAATTTGATTCAACTTAACTCATATTTAACTGTTTAAATTTAAATTAATTTGAATGAATATACTAATTAATCAAATTAATATTATTTATTTTGTATTACATATTGTTCATTCATTTATTTTTAACACTGCACTTTTTTATTTTTAGCACTCAAGGGGGTGCTGCAGCACCCTCAGCACCCCTACTTCCCGCGGTAATGATTAACGTCTCAGGTTACTTATGTAACCATGGTTCCCTGAGTAGGGAACGAGACACTGCGTCCTCTAGGTTTCCCATAGCGACCCCTAGAGGACGCAGTTCGAAGTTCCCATGAAAGGGAACATTACTTTTCGATCCAACCTCATCTACAGAAGAAGTGAGTGTAAGGGTTTTTTATGAATCTTTGCAAATCACCTTTAGTAATAATGGGCTAATTAGCAAGTTTCACGATGAATCACTAAAGTAAACAGTCTCTCTGAGAGCAGCTCGGAAGAGAGGGGCGGGGCCTGCAGAGCTTATTAACATTTAAAGCAACATGGACTATAATGGCTTGATAAAAACAGAGGTTTTGACAGGTTTAAAAAGGTGTTTTTTACACTAACATTGAGAAATTTTAACCAAAGTATGTTATAGACTTTTAATTAAGACCCTAAAGAATCATATCAACTTGTGCAAAATGAGCATCCGATGACCCCTTTAAAAAGTCTTAAATTTGATCTTAGAAATCCTGCAGAAACCCTGTGAGAGGAAAGAAAATAAACTTTTTTGTGATAAAAGAAAGTCTTAATTATGATTTCGGGAGGTCTTAAATTTGGGGATGGAGAGACAAAAAAATTCTCAAAGTTTATTGTGGTGATTAAACTTCAAAAGGCCATGATTTCATTAAATAAACATGATCGCTAATAATTGATTAATGGTTTAAGGCTGAAATGTGAAGTTTGTTTTATAAAACTTTGTTTTTGTGAAAACCTGTATATGAACTGTAAATCATGCTTTTTACAGTCTTCTTAGAGTTTAATATGGAACCATAGACATTGCCCTTCCCCGCTGGTATGGTATTAGTTTTATTTGTGCAGGTCTCAAAAAAGGTCTTAAAGTCTTACATTTGAGCTTAAAAATCCTGCAGATACCCTGTAAATTGGGGTGCCATTTTAGATAAAGCTGATGAAGTGACTGATGCCTTTTATTCTTTTATATTGTAGCACTGGGAGTTATTCAGCCCAGAAGCTGACCTTCAACACATTTTTGGAGTGTTAGAAAATGTTCAGGAATTGCAAGCAGACTTTTAATACTTAATGACAGGTAATGTTTACTGCATAAATATTTGTAAGTTTTTACTCTTTAAATAAACCAAGTGTGATTATACGTTGCATTTTCAGTTATAGATCAGTACCCCACTGATGCTTATCTTTATGTTTTAGGGGTTTGCGTTGCTCCTGGGAAGGGTTAGCATTGCTGGACAGCATCTTACCCACAATGCTGCTTGAATTAGAGATGTTTTTCAAAAAGCAATACACCAGCAGAAAGACAGACCTCCAGAGAGACAGATGACCGTTTGCAACAGAGAAATATGAGAAAGAGATTGCACACAAGGCAATAGGTAATAAGGTAAAAATGAAAAACTCTCCCATGAGGAGAAACACGTATTCTTGAAGAATGAACATGGGTCAATGACGTGACAATTTTTTGTTATTTAGTAATTTATTCACAAATACAGTGTGTTCTTTTCTATGATGAACATGTTTTTAATTTCTGAATTAAGGGTAAATATATAACATAGGGTAAATATGAGAATGTTATGATCTTCATATAATATTGAAGAAAATTTTTTTTATCCTTGAATGGAAAACAATATTTAATGTTCGCGTGAAATAGAAAATTACCCTGTTATGAATTCATGTGAACAATTATCCCGTGCATATGCTTCATTTTTTTTAAAAAGCTTTTTGACTTTAATCAAAATGTCATAACTGCCATTGAAAATGACAGATTTCTCTCTGGTGACGTATGAAGGACATCTCCAATCATTTACTGTAGTCCACTTAAACAACACCCACAACTCAAAGTCCAATCAACAGCTATACATTTTTTTTCCTTTGGTATTAATTTGTTGTACTCTGATGTACGTTACAGCATGGAAGAGAAGATCTGCTGCTACTTCCATTTAATTACTTTTTATATTGAAAAATAAAAAAGAATATATGATAAACTTAAGATGTGAATTCAAGGTGTATGGAAAAAATAGTATTTTTACTTGGTTACATCACATGACACACATTCAGGAATCTGTGAAAAGATGAACACAGTAAACCAGATTATTGCCTTCTCTGATCTATGACATTTGATGTGATGTTATCCCCTATTATCTTGAGTAATTTGGCATAGAAGTGATTTCTCATCATTGCATCTGCCAGTTGAAGTTGCTTTTTTCCAAACCACCCACCTTATCAGTTAGAGAGAAGGTCACTGAATAATCATGAATTGTTTATTTTGCTCCCTATTCACAGCTCTTATTTCTTGTTTAGGCACAATTAAAATATATTTAATTAGCTTAGTTATAATTTTGAAAGTTATTAATGTAGTTCAGATAACATTTAATTTTTCATTTCATTTCAAGCTATTCGTTCCAAACCTGTATGAGTTGCTTTCTTATGTTGAACACAAAATAAGATATTTTGAAGATTGCTGGTAATCAAACAGTTGGTGGTTGCCATTGATTCCATAGTATTTTTTTCCTACTATGGAAGTCAATGGCAACCACCAACTGTTTGATTACCAGTAATCTTCAAAATATCTTATTTTATGTTCAACATAAGAAAGCAACTCATACAGGTTTGGAACGATATGAGGGTGAGTAAATGATGACAGAATTTTAATTTTGGGTGAACTATCCCTTTAAACGAGCGCTTCGCTATTCATGGTACTGAACGCCTTTTGCGTAACGCTACCAAACAAATAGTTATGCAAATATCAGTGTATGCATCAAAACGTTTGTGCTATGCTTACTTTTCCTACAGTTAAAGTAGTTTATCATTTCTCTGTAGGCATATTTATCCCTGGATTCATGAATATTCAAAGTCTAAAGGGAATTAATAATGTATAATGTATATTATGCAAAGCGTGACTGTACGGTATTGTCAGGGATTCACACATAAGAGTGCGTGGGCGCGTTTTCTTACTAATATGAGAGAATTTTACGTTAGCATAGCGATGATGACTCAAGCCACTGCAGATGATGAGGATGGCTTCGCCACCCACACCTTTCTTCCCGTTGTTCACCCATAAATGGTAATACTGTGAGTACACTGGTTTCTACTTAAAGCAGAGTCGTGATGCTGTCTGTGCAAAACAGGTGAGGCTGGGGACACGGTATAAATATAGCTCGGCTTATGAATATTAATTAGGTGACGCTACATTTTCTCAGTTCTTCCCGATTTGTGTCACAATCCTTCAGAAATCATTCGAATATGTTGATTTGGTTTAAGAGGAATCATTTCTTATTAGCAGTGTTCGAAATTTCTACAACTGGACGGGACATTGTTTGCAAGGACCCCGAGTTCTAGAACAAACTCATGTATTTTGAGAAAAAAACGAGTCAGTGTTTTTAGAGACAACTTTTTTATTGTCTGTAATACAAGACAAAGTGGAAATAAATTTGAGGTAACAGGTATATTTTCAAGAAAAAAGGCGTGTCGCTGTGCCTTTTATAGTTAGTATAAGAAATGTGGAAACAAATTTGAGGTAATACATTCACTATAAAGAAATCATGCATACTCGCTTTACAAAATGTCCCTATTGGAAAATGCAGTTTAAGCTGGTAGGTGTGTTTTGGAACTGTTTTAGCTAGTCAAAACTAGCAGTTTACACCAGCTAATGGCCAGTTTAGACCAGTTACACTGAAAAAAATGGTAACCTGAAAACGGTAACATCTAGGCTATAGGCATATTGACCGGTTTTCAAGTCAACTATATTAATTAACACTAATGAATCAGCCTAAATGCATTCATTTCTACCAACAAAACTCATGTTTTTTTGGTAGAAATAGCTCTTTAAGGTAACAATTGAAGGTTACCACTTTCTACAGTGTGGTTAACCAGCCACAGTGTTCTAAAAAAACACTAATATGACCAGCCAATAGCTGGTTTGTTGCTGATCCACCAGTTTCTCAACTAGGTTACATCAGATAATGACCACTTTTGACCAGCTATACCATCTTAAGCCCGATTTTCCAACAGGGTTATAATAAATACATTTCACAAATATTTTGTCAATGTGTAGAATCTGTCCTCTGGTCCAGCCAGGGGCTTACAGAATATAATAATTCTTACATAGTTGAATAATTATTATTCATAGGTTTGAAACAGAGTCCCTAGCGTTACTCTATTACTGTATTTGACACCTCTCAATAGGTGTACTTCGTTTAGGGGTGCTCGGGCCCATCACGCGCCGCAGATCGCTACTGAAACTCGGTCTGCGGGCGAGCGGATGCACCGCGCCACACGGCTCATGCATGGCTCTTTTGTTTCTCTTTCTACTGCTCAGCGTTTGATACGTGTGGATGGAGATATCTCGATGGAGAGAGGGTCTGGTCTCTGTGGGGAGCCCTCCCAGCAGCGCCAGGGCCTCAAACATCTCCTCCAGGTTGGTGCAGTCTTTAGCAGACACCTCAAAGAGGACACTGTCCTGGCAGATATCGGAGTGCTGCGCACCCCTCGAGGTGTTTAAGTCAGTTTTATTGCCACAGATAATAATCGGAAGCTGTCTGTTTTCTTTGGACTTGGTTAGCTTGGATTTGGCAGTGAAAATCTCCTCGCGTAATGAGCAGATCTCCGTGAAAGACTCTCGGTCAGTCACGCTGAACACCAGCAAGAATATGTCACCTGTTGAGGTCAAAAAGCACGTGAAATGAGAACTCTGCAAACCTGAGGCTATAATTTAACGAATTAAAAATTAAATAAGTAAAAACACGGTGCACATACTGACCTGTCAGAATAGACAGTCTTCGCTTGGCAGGAAAGTCTCTCTCTTTGGACGCGTCCAGGATGTCTAACTGGTATCTCTCGCCACGGATGTGGTACAGTTTGCTGTGAAAGTCTTCGGTCGTTGGCTCGTACTGTTCGTCGAATCCATCATCACCCAAAAAACGGCGTATAATCGCCGTTTTACCCACATGGGGGGCGCCGAGCACAACTATGCGCCGGTAATGACTGGGTTTTACGCTGACCAGCTCGTCGTTTTTACTCTCATATTTCATGTGCTTTGTTTTATGGAGCTGAGGCGTGGAGAAAGGATCCAGAGATCTCCGGGGTTTGCGTTCAGACGACGAGGGTCGCTTTCCAGTGCTGGCGGAGCGCACTACTCGCGCCTTTGGCTGTGGAAGTCTCCAGTGCGACGCGCACTGCAAATGCATATCAACTATTGCGGTGCCTTCGGAATGATAGCTGCAGTAGGAGAGCGTCGCGGTGCCATCAACTGAAAGAAGAGCTTTATCAGTTGTGTTCACCTCCATGCCCCTTGCTGGTATCATCCAGAAAGGCTGGTACTGTGGTCGGCAGGACGGCGGCGCAGCACCCCGTGCTCTCGGTGCAGTGAGCTGTACGCGGTTCCCGCAGTGCTTTTTATATGCTAATGATGGATGTGTAGTCTCGTGTGGTGCGTCATTAAACGCTTTGGGTTCGTCTGGTGAATCTGAACAATTCTGCTGCCTATTTAAGGTATTGCCCACCGCAGTGTTACTTGGATCTGGGCCATTCTTATGTAGAGCTACAGAGTATTGTCAGTTAAATGCAGCTATAATACCGACTTAGATCCTACTTATCATTACTGATGAAGTAAAAAGTATTAATTTTCTAGCTTAATTTGGACAGAAAGATGCTTGACAAATTTAAGAATACTGTAAAAACTGGTAACCTGCTGTTATCCATTTCGCCCATAAAATGAATTTTGTTTGTAAATTAATGTTTATAATGAGGGTATATATATATATATATATATATATATATATATATATATATATATATATATAATATATTGAAATGAAAATGACAACATCGTTTTATAAAGTATATGCGTTCATATGTGCTTTATTTTCACTGGAGGAAACCTGTGTGAAGGGTGAACGCAGCGAAAACTTGGGCTACAGTAGATGGGGAACCGATTGCTCCCCCATCAGGGGCGGACTGGGACAAAAATTCAGCCCTGGCACTGTAGCCACACCGGCCCATATTACCACACCGACACAGCCCCACCCACGGACACACACATACACTACTTACATTTGTGTACAGATGGGGAAATAATATAAGCAATACCATATACTGTATGTAACAGATATTTAAACATTTAATGTATGTGTCTGGCAAACAATGCTTACTACTTTTTAAAGAGCACACGTTTATAACAAATTTACACATACAGTAAAAACAAAAGAAAAAGAATCTGAGGATGTTGTAGAGTCTGTGTGCTGTCTGTTTATGCCATTTGTCTGCTGTTACTGTCATTCTCTACAGTATGTTGTTCTTTATTGTCACTGTCTGTCTGTTGGGCTTTTCCTACCTCTACCACACTCCTCCCTGTCTCTGCTAGGCCTACTGTAGCATCCTTCCTCACAGCACTGGTGTTGAAAGA